GCCCTCTCAGCTTCGTGTAGATGGACTAGGGCGACATCCATTTCAAGTTTCTTCTGGGTGAGGACCTTCGTCAAAAAGGTAACGATTGTTGTCCAAGTCGCTTCGTCACTAATCATTTTGTTGACCAGCGTGTCGGGTGCTATAGGGCCTACATTTGCCGTCAACTCTTCCCTTTCGGTTTTCCATCTGTGGCAGTGGAACACTGTGTGTTCGGCGTCATCTGTCAGCCCATCCGCATATGGGCAAGCAGGGCTATTTACTTTTCCGATGTTCCAGAGGTATTTACAAAAATATCCGTGCCCCGTTAGGATTTGGGTAATGTAGTAATTGACTTCGCCGTGCTTTCGATCACGCCAAATCTGAATACGCGGGATCGGTCGAGCCGTCCACCTGCCTCGGGTTTCCTCGTCCCATAGCTTCTGCCATTTATCACATGTATGCATTCTAGCCTGCTTACGCGCTTGTATCGGTTCTACTGCGTCTTTTGTTTCATATACCTCCTTTCTTTCCGCAGCTAGTAGGTCAAGCGATGACGATAATGCCAGCGATTACAAGCACCGCAGGTCCTGACACTGTTCTATACGCAGATGTAATCCGCAGGGCACTTCTTCTTTGGACTGATATGAGACGTTTGTGGCTATCCTGCCTTAGATCATCGGTCCAGATCTCGCAGCCGTATAACATTATGGCATTTGAGACCTCCATAAGTAGTCTGCGCTTGGTCGCAGTCGGTCCGCCAACATTTCCCATTATGCGACTCAGCATTGTTGTAATTTTTGCCGCTCTATCGCAGGCACACCTCACATGATCTCGGAATGTTAGTCTATTGTCGAGCGTTACCCCCAAATATTTCAGGGCTTTCCGACTGACGATTTCGGTCTCTTGAACTTTGAAACCTATCTCCAGCGGTATGCGGCGTCCAGTAAGCAGGATGATTTCCGTTTTATCAGCCGCAAGGGTCAGACCGCGGTCCATCATCCAACAGCTTGTCCTTCTCATTACTCTGTTTATACTTCTCTGAGCCTCGGTTTCGTTCCGTGCCTGGATCACCGCAGCCAAATCGTCCGCGTAGCCCACAGAAAAACTCCGTCAGGCATCTGCAGCCGCAGAATCCCGTCGTAGAAGACGTTCCACAGCACCGGACCGAGGACGGACCCCTGCGCCACTCCGCATGTCATCCTCTTTGTTCTTGGGCCTTGTGGGGTATCGTAGGATAGAATCCTATTTGTGAAGTAACTTCCCAGAATCCGCAACAGATAGTCCGGGGTTGCGAAGTTTCGTTCCAAGGCATGGAGGATCTCCTCCCAGCGCGCAGAGTTAAACGAGTTTCTAATGTCTAAGGTGATCAGTACTACGATGGGCCTAGAGTAATGGTTTTTTCGTTGAGCCTCCTTAAAAGTTTGGACTATTTCTTTGACGGCTCCTATCGTCGATCTGCCAGTGCGGAAGCCGTGCTGTCTGGTTGCTAGTCCGCCTGCGCTCTCTATTACATTATTTAATCTGCTCCGAAGCAGCCTTTCAAGCAGCTTCCCCGCGGTGTCCAGCATGCACAGGGGTCGGTATGCAGATGGACAAGAAGGATCGCCTTTTTTTTTCGAATCAAAACCAATCTCTGTACCTTCCAGGCATCGGGGAAAGTACCCTCTTTAAGGCATGCGTTGTACATGTGTAGCATGACATCAGGGGATGTTGTAACGGCCACCTTAAGGGCCTCCGAAGGAATTCCATCCGGGCCTGGCGCCTTTCTATTCTTCATCGAAGTGCAAGCCTTAACTAATTCCTCGTCGGTGAAAGGGGGAGCCTCGTTCGTGTTGAGAAGGGATGAAAAATTCTGCTTGGGTCGGTTTGGAAAGAGTGCGTTGACTATGGGTAACATCATCTCGGCGTCAAACACTACAGGTGCAGAAGCGTGACCGAGTTTTTTCACGGCCACCCTATAGCCCAGGCCCCATGGGTCGCGATTAACGTCTTCCCGCATCTCCTCCCACTTCTTCTTCTTGCTTTCCCAGATTGCGGCTTTTAGCAGCTTTTTGGCACGTTTCAACTCCTCCGTCTCTCGTGTTACATTTTGCGAGTCTCTGCGTTTATGCCTGGTAAGCTTTCTTCGACTGTGGAGACAGGCCTTGCAGAGTTCTGCTATCTCAGGCGTCCACCAGTACGTTGCTGGCTTTGAACGATGCTTTCTTGTTTTTGGCATAGAAGCCTCACATGCGTCTCTTAGCACATACATAGTTTTGGCTACTATTTGGTCTGCAGAGCCGCTTGCTTGTAGAACGGCGTCCCGCTTTGCAGTTATAACGGCAGATAGAGTAGGCACATTCAACCTTCCTGCATATAGGAACCTCAATCGCACCTGTTTCACGTACCAATCTAACTTTGTAACAAAATGCATGATTGTGCAAGTTACTGTCTGCTTCATTTTTTCGTGGTCTTCTACGTTTTATCTGATGAATTGAAATTAAGCCAGCTAAATAAGCACTTTGATTGTTTTTCGATCCCAGCAAATTAAAATCTTTTAACAAACCGTCTCTTTCTTTAACGGATACTGTTTTAAAATATTTTAAACGCTTGCAGGAGCAACTGTCACCACACTCATTGCTAGCAACACGTAACCTCTTATTAGCAGAACGTAATCTTCCTGTAACTTTCCTTTTTTTTGTATTTCGTCCAAAACTTACAGACGTCTCATTTTCGTCTTCACTCGACATTATTAACACTGTATTAAACACGATCAGTAAGTCAATAAGAAAATTTAAAATTTCAAGCACAAACACATTACAACGACATAACTTGTCACACTGACGCAATCTGCTGCAAACGTCACATTTATGCAAGCCTGCTTGATGAGTCCGGTGGACTTAGAATGTTCTTTCGTTGCACACTCAAATTTCAAAGCCGATTTCTATGGACTAGGATTGATATTTCATTATATGGACTTGATACAAAGCTAGAGTCATGTCGTCGCTAACAGATGGCACCAAAATCTAAAAAATGAATTTTTGTGACTTAGTATGTTTTTCCCCTGTACCCTTCATTTACTATGGTGAGATTTATATTTGTGTGCCGCAATGTGTTGTGGTGCCTTGTGTTGTGTCGTAATTTGAATCAGAAGATTCATGGGAAAACATTATAGACCCACGTATGAACTCTTTGAGTGCTACGATTGTATTGATTCAAAATATCGCCAGAGTGCGTCAAAATGCTTTTTATTTCAACTCGATATCTCAATTAGTTTTTGAGATACAATGTCTTAAAGTTTAACAACATTCTAAAATTATGATGACACTTAAAAAATCGCTCCTTAACAATTGATTGGAATTAAAAAATAATTTTCGCTATGCTAAATTTAGAGTAAATTTGCTTCAATATGCTCTTTATTTCATCGCGATATCTCAATTAGTTCTTAAGATACGATTTTTTAAAAATCGACTTAATTAAAGTAACCTATAAATTAAACAATTTTGTGCGATTTGAATTCAAAAAATCGCTACATCAAAACTAGTTGGAATTAAAAGATAATTTTTGGAGTGTTAATTTTGGATTAAATTTGCTTTAAACTGTTTTTTATTTCAACTCGATATCTCAATTAGCTTTTGAGATACAATGTCTTAAGGTTTAACAACATTCTAACATTATGATGGCACTTAAAAAATCGCTCCTTAAAAATTGATTGGAATTAAAAATAATTTTCGCTATGCTAAATCTAGAGTAAATTTGCTTCAATATGCTTTTTATTTCATCGCGATATCTCAATTAGTTCTTAAGATACGATTCATTAAAAATCGACTTAATTAAAATAACCTCTAAATGAATCAATTTTGTTCGATTTGACTTCAAAAAATCGCTATATCAAAACTAGTTGGAATTAAAAGATAATTTTTGGAGAGTTAATTTTGGATTCAATTTACTTTAAACTGCTTTTTATTTTAACTCGATATCTCAATTAACTTTTGAGATACAAAGTCTTAAACTTTAACAATATTCTAGAATTATGATGACACTTAAAAAATCGCTCCTTAAAAATTGATTGGAAATAAAAAACAATTTTCGCTGTGCTAAATCTAGATTAAATTTACTTCAAGACACTTTTTATTTCATCCCGATATCTCAGTTCTTAAGATACGCTTTTTCAAAAATCGACTTAATTAAAATAACCTCTAAATGAATTAATTTCGTGCGATTTGTATTCAAAAAGTCGTCACATGAAAACTAGTTGGAATTAAAAGTTAATTTTTGGAGTGTTAATTTAGGATTAAATTTGCTTTAAAATGCTTTTTATTTCAACTCAATATCGTAATTAGTTTTTGAGATACAAAGTATTGAATTTTAACAATATTCTAAAATTATAATAAAACTTAAAAAATCGCTTCTTTAAAACTGTTTGGAATTAAAAAGTAACATTTGCTGTTTTAAATCTAGATTAAATTTGCTTTAAAATGCTTTTTATTTCATCGCAATATCTCAATTACTTCTTAAGATACAATTTTTTAAAAATCGACTTAATTAAAATAACCTGGAAATTTCGTTCGTACAATATTTAATTAAAAAATGTTTTTCTAAAAATTTTTATTATCTAACACATAACATATCATATACCATCATAAAGAGGACTCTTTAAGCTTTTATTTCAGATATGCCTCATTTCTATATATGCAGAATTAAGAAACATATGATTTTTTTAATTTGACACTTAATGTTAACAAGTTAGGTCAACGTTTTCGAAAAATACTTTTTTTTGTGTATTTTAAAATAAAACTTTAGCATGTTATATATCATTTTAAAGAGGACATTTCAACCTTTTATTTAAGACAACTCATTCTTCAACTCCCCGATATACCCCGGAAATGATTTTTTTAAATATCACTATGTATTTGAAATCTCGTTTGTGCAACTTTTCCTTCACGTTTCTTTTCCTAAAATTTTTTATTAAATAACACATAACATATCATATACCATCATAAAGAGGACTCTTTAAGCTTTAATTTCAGATATGCCTCATTTCTATATATGCAGAATTAAGAAACATATATTTTTTTTAAATTTGACACTTAATGTTAACAAGTTAGGTCAAGATTGAATTTGTAACGTTTTCGAAAAATACTTCTTTTTGTGTATTTTAAAATAAAACTTTAGCATGTTGTATATCATTTTAAAGAGGACATTTCAAACTTTTATTTAAGACATAACTCATTCTTCAACTCCCTGATATAACCAGAAAATGATTTTTTTAAGTATCACTATGTATTTAAAATCTTATTTGTGCAATTTTTCCTTCAAAATTTTTTTTCTAAAAGAATTTATTATCTAACACATAACATATCATACACCATCATAAAGAGGACTCTTTAAACTTTAATTTAAGATATGCCTCATTTCTATATACCCAAAATTAAGAAAGATATGATTTTTTTAAATTTGACACCTAATATTAACAAGTTAGGTTAAGATCGAATTTGCAACATTATCGAAAAATATTCTTTTGGGCCTAATTTAAAATAAAACTTTAGCATGTTATATATCATTTTAAAGAGGACATTTCAACGTTTTATTTAAGAGACAACTCATTCTTCCACTCCCGATATACCCCGAAAATGATTTTTTTAAATATCACTATGTATTTAAAATCTCGTTTGTGCAACTTTTCCTTTAAATGTTGTTTCCTAAAAATTTTTATTATCTAACACATAACATATCATATACCATCATAAAGAGCACTCTTTAAGCTTTAATTTCAGATATGCCTCATTTCAATATATGCAGAATTAAGAAACATATGATTTTTTTAAATTTGACACTTAATGTTAACAAGTAAGGTCAAAATCGAATTTGCAACGTTTTCGAAAAATACTTCTTTTTGTGTATTTTAAAATAAAACTTTAGCATGTTGTATATCATTTTAAAGAGGACATTTCAAGCTTTTATTTAAGACATAACTCATTCTTCAACTTCTTGATATACTCCGGAAATGATTTTTTAAATATCAGTATGTATTTAAAATCTCGTTTGTGCAACATATCCTTCAAAATTTTTTTTCTAAAAATTTTTATTATCTAACACATAACATATCGTATACCATCGTGAGGAAGACTCTTTAAGCTTTAATTTAAGATATGCCTCATTTCTATATACCCAGAATTAAGAAGGATATAATTTTTTTAAATTTGACACTTAAAATTATCAAGTTAGGTTAAGATCGAATTTGCAACGTTTTCGAAAAATACTCTTTTTTTGGTATAATTAAAAAAAAACTTAAGCATGTTGTATATCATTTTAAAGAGGACATTTCAAGCTTTTATTTAAGACATAACTCATTCCTCAACTCCTAGATATAACCCAGAGATGATTCTTTTAAATTTAACAATTAAAGTTAGGTTAGGTTAATCTATTATTTATATATATTATTTTATTTAAATAAAAAAATTATAAAAAAAAAACTTAAGATTAAAGCACAAAAAAATTAAATTTCTTCATTTAAATCATAATCTTCCTCTGGAAAATCCCCACAAAGTACATTTTGTGGTTTAACAAAAGCTCCATAATTCATGGGACACTCAAAATACCTCTTCCCTTTAACTGAACCATCATTCTTTCCCAAAGGCTCATCATATTTAACCCCAATCCAAAATCCATCTAACCCCTCAACTTTTCCTTTAAACATAACACATCCCAATCTGGTCGCAGCACCAGCAATCTCAACTTTACATCGACTCCCCAAAACAACAGCTTCGCAAATTTCTTGTTCTTCCTTCTTTAATTTTTCTTTATTTTGAATATTATCCTCGTTGTAATGTCCCAGTTTGTTTCTCATTAAAAACGCTCGAAGTGAATCGGCTTTATTCGCGTAAAGCTCATCGGAGAGTTCGAATTTGGGTACATTTCCAAAATCTAATTCATTTTTTATCGAGAATTTATCAACAACGTGTAACCGCATCCCATCTTCCAACGGGTATTGACCCAATTGAGCTGAATCATCGCTTAGGGTACAAATTAGTTTATTATCTTTCGAGTAACCTTCCAATTGCATCGTTGCGCTTGAGCCCCCGGTTATTAACTCCAACTTAGCCTTCAAATCGGCGATTGTTGTGTCTTTTGGAAAACGCTTATCGTTGAACGATGGTATATCACTGTTCGATGTTGAAATGTGTAAATTTACAAAATCGGGGGTGATTACTTTGTAATCTGCCATCATTTTTATTCGGTTTAGAAACTTTAACAGAAATTTCTTGTTGTTTTTATGTGCGTTTTAAAAGAAGGTTGGGATGAAACGTCAAAAGTGACAGAAGATGTGGCGCCATCTACCGTTAAATTTATTGAAATGGTTATAGATTACTATTTTTTAATTGATTAAATAATTATTAAAGTTTCTAATTATTATTTATAAGTGAGATATATCTTAAATTAATGCATCTTTAAAATGATAAACAACATGATAAAGTTTTATTTTAAATTAGACCCAAAATAATATTTTTCGAAAACTTGTTAACATTAAGTGTTAAATTTAAAAAAATCATATCCTTCTTAATTCTGGATATATACAAATGAGGCATATCTTAAATTAAAGCTTAAAGAGTCCTCTTTATGATGGTTTATGATATGTTATGTGTTAGATAATAAATATTTTTAGAAAAAAAATTTTGAAGGATAAGTTGCACAAACGAGATTTTAAATACATAGTGATATTTAAAAAATCATTTCCGGGGTATATCAAGAAGTTGAAGAATGAGTTATGTCTTAAATAAAAGGTTGAAATGTCCTCTTTAAAATGATATGCAATATGCTAAAGTTTTATTTTAAATTACACTAAAAAAGAGTATTTTTCAAAAACGTTGCAAATTCGGTCCTTGTTAATATTAAGTCCCAAATTTAAAAAAATCATATCTTTCTCAATTTTGGGTATATAGAAATGAGGCATATCTCAAATTAAAGTTTAAATAGTCCTCTTTATAATGGTATATGATATGTTGTGTGTTAGATGATAAAAATTTGTAGAAAAAAATGTTTAAAGGAAAAGTTGCACAAACGAGATTTTAAATACATAGTGATGTTTAAAAAATCACTTTCGGGTTATATCGGGGAGTTGAAGAATGAGTTATATCTTAAATAAAAGGTTGAAATTTCCTCTTTGAAATGATATATAACATGATACAGCTTTATTTTAAATTATTCCCAAAAAAATATTTTTCGAAAACGTTGCAAATTCGATCTTAACCTAACTTGTTAGCATTAAGTGTCAAATTTAAAAAAATCATATCCTTCTTAATTCTGGATATATTGAAATGAGGCATATCTTAAATTAAAGCTTAAAGAGTCCTCTTCATGATGGTATATGATATGTTATGTGTTAGATAATAAATATTTTTGGAAAAAAGATTTTGAAGGATAAGTTGCACAAACGAGATTTTAAATACATAGTGATATTTAAAAAATCATTTCCGGGGTATATCAAGATGTCGAAGGATGCGTTATGTCTTAAATAAAAGGGTGAAATGTCCGCTTTAAAATGATATGCAACATGCTAGAGTTTTATTGTAAATTACACCAAAAAGGAGTATTTTTCGAAACCGTTGCAAATCCGATCTTAACCAAACTTGTTAACATTAAGTGTTAAATTAAAAAAAATCATATCCTTCTTAATTCTGGGTATATAGAAATGAGGCATATCTTAAATTAAAGCTTAAAGAGTCTTCCTCATGATGGTATATGATATGTTATGTGTTAGATAATAAAAATTTTTAAAAAAAATTTTGAAGGATAAGTTGCACAAACGAGATTTTAAATACATAGTGATATTTAAAAAATCATTTCCTGAGTATATCAAGAAGTTGAAGAATGAGTTATGTCTTAAATGAAAGCGTGAAATGTCCTCTTTAAAATGATATGCAACATGCTAGAGTTTTATTTTAAATTACTCCAAGAAAGAGTATTTTTCGAAAACGTTGCAAATTCGGTCCTTGTTAACATTAAGTGTCAAATTTAAAAAAATCATATCTTTCTCAATTTTGGGTATATAGAAATGAGGCATATCTCAAATTACAGTTTAAATAGTCCTCTTTATAATGGTATATGATATGTTGTGTGTTAGATGATAAAAATTTTTAGAAAAAATGTTTAAAGGAAAAGTTGCACCAACGAGATTTTAAATACATAGTGATGTTTAAAAAATCATTTTCGGGTTATATCGGGGAATTGAAAAATGAGTTATATTTTAAATAAATGGTTGAAATGTCCTCTTTGAAATGATATATAACATGATACAGCTTTATTTTAAATTATTCCCAAAAAAATATTTTTCGAAAACGTTGCANATAGTGATGTTTAAAAAATCATTTTCGGGTTATATCGGGGAATTGAAAAATGAGTTATATTTTAAATAAATGGTTGAAATGTCCTCTTTGAAATGATATATAACATGATACAGCTTTATTTTAAATTATTCCCAAAAAAATATTTTTCGAAAACGTGCAAATTCGATCTTAACCTAACTTGTTAACATTAAGTGTCAAATTTAAAAAAATCATATCCTTCTTAATTCTGGATATATTGAAATGAGGCATATCTCAAATTAAAGTTTAAAGAGTCCTCTTCATGATGGTATATGATAAGTTATGTGTTAGATAATAAATTTTTTTAGAAAAAAATGTTTAAAGGAAAAGTTGCGCAAACGAGATTTTAAATACATAGTGATATTTAAAAAATCATTTCCGGGGTATATCAAGATGTCGAAGGATGCGTTATGTCTTAAATAAAAGGGTGAAATGTCCGCTTTAAAATGATATGCAACATGCTAGAGTTTTATTGTAAATCACACCAAAAAGGAGTATTTTTCGAAACCGTTGCAAATCCGATCTTAACCAAACTTGTTAACATTAAGTGTTAAATTAAAAAAAATCATATCCTTCTTAATTCTGGGTATATAGAAATGAGGCATATCTTAAATTAAAGCTTAAAGAGTCTTCCTCATGATGGTATATGATATGTTATGTGTTAGATAATAAAAATTTTTAAAAAAAATTTTGAAGGATAAGTTGCACAAACGAGATTTTAAATACATAGTGATATTTAAAAAATCATTTCCTGAGTATATCAAGAAGTTGAAGAATGAGTTATGTCTTAAATGAAAGCGTGAAATGTCCTCTTTAAAATGATATGCAACATGCTAGAGTTTTATTTTAAATTACTCCAAGAAAGAGTATTTTTCGAAAACGTTGCAAATTCGGTCCTTGTTAACATTAAGTGTCAAATTTAAAAAAATCATATCTTTCTCAATTTTGGGTATATAGAAATGAGGCATATCTCAAATTAAAGTTTAAATAGTCCTCTTTATAATGGTATATGATATGTTATGTGTTAGATAATAAAAATTTTTAGAAAAAAGTGTTTAAAGGAGATGTACAAAAACTCCATATCAAAAAGGTTAGATTAAATAATCTATCACCAATCAAAAAATACCATCGATAGAGCATCATAACATGTACGAAATTTATTCGTATTAGACCGAGGAATAGTAATATATAACTAGTTCCAGAATAATTATTTTATTTTCTCTTAAAAATTAAAGAAATAGTTTTGAAAATGTCATTTTTCAAGTTGAAAAACGTTATTAAAAATTGAAATTGTGATTTTCGATTTAATTTTTTATTTTAATTGTTAATAACATTCATAAGGAGGTGCAGTTATATTGTTTATAACTATTAATCTTAAATACTTTAATAATTATACTCATTTCTTTTTCAAAACCAACGTTGAAATAGTTCTCGACCAAGCGTAGCATCTTTTAAGATCCTAAAATGAAATAACTTCATTAATTTACTTATACTATTAGGTTATTAATTATTTAGTGATTTACCAAAGTCATTGTGTTATAAGAAACAATACCAAACAACCCCAATTTAATGTTTAAAACGCGTTGGGTTAAACAAAGGAAAATTAAGACATCCTTTTGCAACTTAACATCGGCATCGTACCAATTTAAGTTATAAACGGCTTCTGCTAAAAAGAGATTCTAAAAAAAGGATTAATTTTTTTAATTCATATTTGTTTTTAATTACCGCATCAATGACACGTTGTCCGATTGTGTTAAACATCATCAACGAGAATAAGCTTGAGGTAATGTTTATGAAGCTAAATAAATCGTAACGCTTAAAAATAAATTAATTAATTAATTAATTAATAAATAAGGAAATTGTAATACTGACTAAAACAAACGTTGAGGTGTTTAAAACGATGAATCCAATTGAACAAAATCGTTGCAATATGATTAATTTTCCAAAAACTTCGCACGAAAGATTAAATAAGCGAAAAATTTCTTGGTGATACTCAATAACATCGCGGAATTTATCGCTGTCTTTCATCCCGTTGAAATTAATTTGGTTAATTAATATCGTAAGGTGTTTTAATCGAATTATTATTATTTCGAAAACATAAATCAACATGGAAATCCCTCCGATTCCGATGTTCCAAATTGTGATGGTCATAAACATCTCTTCAACAACTAAAATCTCCTCTAACGAAGACGAAATTTTATTTGGGAGAAAATACTCCATGATTAAATAACAACGAATATTAGAACAACTTTTCTTCAACAACAAAGCGTTGTAATAAATGATCATTCCGATTAATGTTGTGAAATGAGCGTATTTTAAACCATTCTTAATCAAAGTATCGATTAAGCGGAGCTCCTTCGGGACTCCAAACCGATCAAAATTACTTAAATTATAAGTTAAATTAATTAATTTCTTTTTTTCTTTTGTAAGTATCACTGCGATTAATCCGAAATTGATACCTATTAAATAGGCGTAAATCTCTATTAGGTACAAGTGAAACTCAATTTGGGGGTCTGAAAAGTGATTGGGGTTAAAATTAATTTATTAATAACTTAATAAGACTTACTTGTAAGTTTTTGAACAAACGGGTAAAAAGTTAGGATTATATTTAAAATGGTCATTATAAATAGTTTGTTTTTGTAGAGGGGGGATAAAGGGGAGCATTGAATTTTGTTAAAATAGTTCATGATTTCTAAAAACCCAATGGTTTTAATCCGCATCTTGTAGAAACTGGGGCCACAAACGAAATGAATTTGAATTTAAACGATTTAAAGAAATTGTTCTTAATGAAAGGTACTTTAATGATCGTGGATTAATAATTAATAAGGATTTAATCGGTTTGGATTTATCTTTTGATTCATTTTTATGATATATGGTTTAAAGTGAATAATAGAAGAGAAGAGAACGAAATATCTCGAATATGGAAAAAGGAGGTTGAGCAGAAAAGTGTAATACTAAAAAGAGAGTGATAATAGAAGAAAGACACTGAATAAAACGTGAAAACAGAAAAAAGAATTTAGACAGACTACGAATGCAAGAAAATGATGGTTGCAGAAAAAAAGAGATTGGAAAGGATGATAAAAAGACTGAATAGACGTTGGAGAGACAAAAATGGGAATGGGCAGAAAGATGTGACATTGAAAAAAGGTTGGCAAGGAAAAATAAAGGTGTAGAGAGACTGGAAATGAAAAAATGAGGGTGGGCAAAAAGCCTTCTTAATTCTGGATATATTGAAATGAGGCATATCTCAAATTAAAGTTTAAAGAGTCCTCTTCATGATGGTATATGATAAGTTATGTGTTAGATAATAAATTTTTTTAGAAAAAAATGTTTAAAGGAAAAGTTGCGTANTTTTATCTACAACTATTGAATTATCTATTCGTTATACAATTGATTTTTGACGGGTAATGACACTCATTACCCATGACAGACAAAGTGTTGAATAATGAGGCCATTATTCCACACTTCTGACACTGCCTACTAATCAAAAAATAAAATATTAACAGAAATGACAGCTTTCTTATATTGAGGTTATGTCTGAAATGTCTATCAAGTTTATTTTTTTTTCTTTTTTTTGATTTTTGTTTCAAAATTAAATAGTTGTAGATAAAGTATAGTATTCAACTTGCGTATAATGGATGTTACCCACTCAGATTACAACACTCGCTCGCTTCGCTCGCTCGTGTTGCAACTTCATCTTCATGTGTGCTGTTACCCATGAAGATGTGCCATTATACGCTTGTTGAATAATATACTATTATAGAATCAGAAAATATCGAAGTTATTTGTATCACTAAACATTGGCTGGACACCTCAACAATGAATATATTGAGAATCAATGGGCGCGGTCAGCGGACACAGCAGCTGAGTAGCTGAGCCACATCAGATTCCTGAACGGTATCGCTGGTTTATTGCTGAAACTCAGCGCTGGCCGTTTTTAACAGCGCTTTGGTTTGACGTTTAAATGAAAGTGACAGAAAGTGGGTGAAGTCGTGAAGTGAGGTTAATATAATCCCACCTAGCCGTGGCCTAACTTTGACATTCATACAACAAAATGGATGCTGAGGAAATAAGTAATGGTAAGTTTGTTCGTATTTAAATTATTTATAACAATAAGTATTTTACTATTGTATGAAATAACTAAATTGTATATTTTAACGGTAACATGCAACAGCCAACGTGGGTTTTCCACATCTTAACAGCATCTTAGGTTTTATTTGAATTCTCTTATTTTACTCTAGATGATTTAACCTATTACCTTGTTGACACCCAAGATAAAAATAC